TCGGCTCCGGAGTGGCGCCTTCCATTCCGAGCCCTCGGCTAAGTTTCAGCGACAGGAAGAGACAGTGGTGAGCGCCGGGGCTGTCCTGGGTCCCTCCCTGGCCACGGAGGGGCTGCAGAGTGGCCCTGAGCAGGGCCCCACGTGCCTGGACCGGCCCCAAGGCCGTAGGCACCACTGCGGCGGCTGCCACCAGCTCCCAGGTCCTCAGCCCCTGTGGCGCGGTGGGGGCAAGACCGAGGGAGGCGGGAAGGCTCCCGGCTGGGGTGGCAGAGGTGGTCTGGGGCCGGGGGGCTGCTGCTCCGGCCGAGACTGGGGCCAGCTTCCCGTGGCGGAGCTGTTCTGTCCAGTTGTTTGTCTGGCACCTTCGGCGGCGAGGAGTCTGAATGCCATCGGCCACGGAAGGAGCAGCATCTGTAGGTCGACCCAGGGACTTCCAGAAATGAAAGGAAAGCATGTGCTGTTTCTTGTGAAGCCTTGTCCCTTTCCTGGATGGGGCGAGAGTGGGTCACGTCATTCCAGAAATATTTTTAGTGTCTGTTCCCCAGTCATACTGAAACCACACTTGAGGGTAGAGAGAGGAGGCTCTGCGATGAAAAGAGAAGGTGGAGGGTGGAGGAGGCATGTGGGTTCTCATTCAAATCAACCAAATGCTCTATGTAATCTATTATAGCCATGTCTAGCAAGTATGAAATTAGTCTTTACTCACTGCCATCTTTCACTCCCCAATCTGATTAAATGGCTTTTTCCCCTTGTTCTTAAATAAAATTCAAATTTGGCGTTGCGTTTCATATGAATTCAGGACAATCCAGAAAGATTTCAAAATCTCTCCTAGACATATGGGAGGCTTTATGCTTGCCTCAAAATCTATGCGCTTTCTCCTTCGTTCATCTCAAATCAGATGTGTTCTGGTCATAAAACTTCCATAGGAGTAAAATATGCCATCCCTCTTTCTCCGAAGTTACACTCTATAAAAGATAATCTGTTTGTTCCAAACCAGAATCCCTTCTAGAATCCTTACTGTGTGGACTTGAAGTATAAAAGGGCAATTTTCAAAGACTTAAGACAGAAGACCTTAAATAAATAAACTTTTAATAATAGTCATTAGAAAGGAGCACATGGGGTCAAAATTAACACTACTTCAAACTCTACAGTATCCAATCGATCTCAGAAAAAGTTCCCTAAACTTCTAAAACCGGGGCAAGACAATAAACCTTCAATTAAATATAGCCTGAGCTGTAGCCTCGTGATTCGGTTACCCTGGCTGAATTCCAGGCCTGCAGGGCGTGGAGTCAAAAGGCACAAAAGAACGACGAATACACTTACCCTTCATGAGTACAGTGCGGCTTGGAGGGAGGTTCAGAGAGGAAATGTGACCCGCTGGCATGCCCCATGGAAATGGAGCCAAAGTCCCAGTTCACTGGCTCTGAGGTACATCCATTTCAGATAATTCAGTAGTTGTGCAAGTGAATTTGCCAGGCGCCCCACGATAGGGGTTCTGTGCTGGCCACTCTCAGAGCAGATCCTTGGGTGCTATCAGTGGAGAACCACGACCCTTGGTTTTCATGAGATCTGGCCCTCATCACCTGCCAGGCCCAATTTCACCACTATACATAGTCTATGTGTCACTTATGCCGATTGAATAAAGCACTATTTTAAACATCCACATTTGTGGGGAACAAAAATAACATCATCACCCATCCCCTTCCAATGTGAAAGCCACCCCCGCACAGAAAAATGTTCCTTCTTCTGGATAGGCGTGGGGGTAGGTATGGAGTGGGAGCCCCTAATAAGTGAAGCATTTACCTTCCCATACCCGAGACGTGGAGAGTACAGCATTGCCGTTCTCCCCCTGACAACTTGCTTCTGCCCACGTCATTGCCATTAAAAACATGACATAAGGAAATACTGGAAATATCAAGTATCATGGTGTGGATATAAAGCCAGAGCACTAGGCGGAGAGTAAAAGAGAAAAGGAAACAGGAAGAAACAGAGGGAGAGGAAGGGAATGGAAGAACAAGAAGAAAAGGGAGAATTTGTTAAATTTTCAGCCAACTTTTTGGTTATGGAGAACCAGATTCAGTGGCACAAATTCCCAGATTTTTAATGACAATGAAAAGGTTAAATAATAATCACAACTAAGAGTTATATAGCCTTACTGTGTGTGATGCACCTTTACATGTGTATGCATTAGCAACCTGATGAGTTAGGTACAATTTTAATGCATAAGAAAGCTGAGGCATAGAGATGTTAAGAAATTATGGAGCAGGACTCAAACCCAAGCAGTCTGGCTCCAGAGCTTGAACCTGGAGCATTATGCTGCAGAGGCTTGCTGGCTTCTCTGCTCGAACACTCTCCGCGGTGCCAAATGCTCAATTAGAAGGAAGCAATGCATCCATTAGGCAATCTCATCTGCATGGCCACAAACAAAACACACCCCTTTCTGATAAAAATATTTCTGATAAAAATATTATCAACCTGTGTATACATTATATACTCAGGGATTAAGGAACATGACCCTATAAATAAAATGAAATAAAATAGAATTGGTTGCTCAGGCAAGTAGAGTAATTTCAATGCCCCATTTTAATCTTGCTCTGAAGCCTTGGACAATAAATCCTGAACACTGCCTCAAGCACTATGGGCCATACACACTCCATAGTTGAATAGAAGGCAGAATTTCTGCCCATCAAGGCAATTATAGTCTAAGGAGGAATTTTCCAGCACTTTCCACATGGCCCTGTCTGTCATGATAACTCGACATATTTCAGCGGTTTCTCCCTGCAGTTGACAAAGTACAAAATTGGAAGGTCAGATGCCCTGTAGGTTAAGGAATAATTGCTTAATGGCTGAAGTTATGAAAACCTGCTTCTAGAGTCTTGCTCCCTCCAGAAAGCACAGCCCTAGCCAGAGCTCCCCAAGAGACAAAAAGAGGGTTATCCTAAAAGAGGTACTTACCTGCAATTTCTCTGTGCAGGTCTTTTTCTCTTTTCTAACTAAATGAATGCCAGTGTAGGAAAAACTTGTAAGAAAATCTCTTTCAAATAAAGTCAACTTCCAAAAACTAAGGTTTAATTCAAACCACAAATTCTATTTAAAAATCAGACAGGCAGAGAATTCAGAATAGGACAGACTCTATTAAAAGATTGGAAGGAAAAAAAGAAGAAAAAGAAGAAAGAAACTCATAAATGGAAAAACAATGACCAATTGTAGCAGAAAGTCAACACAATTAAGAACCCCAAACTGCCTGGCCTCTGCATTTTCAGAGTTTTCTGTCAGTGTATGCTACTATGAAATACTCATTTGGTAGCCATAGAGCCTTTTATTCCGTAATATGACTGGAGTCATTTTTTTTTTTTTACAGATGAACTCAGTGATTGCCTACCTGATCTCAACTCTTGAGCAATTAACAATGACTAATGTCACCAGCATTAACTCATGTTAAGCAAGCATACTTACTAGACCAAGCAAGGTATACTTGGTAGATAACTTTATATGGGATTTCAAAGAGCAACAAAGGAAATGACTCAGTGTCCTTATTTTTATCTCTGCAGAGAAAGTTCTTAGCATTCTCTGAAAGTCTTGTGAAACGTATCATAGTAAGAAAAACTTTAACATGATTAAAGAAATTGAGAATGAAGGCCAGGCTATCCACCAGTTGGTAAAAGAATATGGTTATATTTCAGGTGTCCAACAATGGCATAATACAATAGGCAAATACATCATTCAAAGGGAAGAACGCTTTAGCACGTTAGCAGACATAGGCTACTAGACCAGAAATAAAGAGATAGGTTTAAGCTTGGACTCAAACTAGAAGTCAGACAGAAGATTTACCAAGTGCAGACATTCTCAGGATTCTCTGGGGTGCAATAGGAGACAGATATTTTCTGATTACTTTAAATTCTGTATTCACACACAATGATGTGAAGGAGGCTTTTCTGTCGAACACTGTCTACTGCCAGAGTGTGGCCAGCTGTTTGGCTTCCTGGCCCAGGTGGGCACGCCTAAGAATTACATCCGAAGAAAAGGCACCACATTATTATTATTTTTTTTTTTTTGAGGGTGCCAAAAAGCATTTATTTAGTTACTGAGGTAAACATGTGCTTTGGCTTGTTTAATCCTCTTAAAAACACCATGAGAGAGCAATGATCATTCCCATTTTGTGGATTAAAAAATTGAGGTTAGTGAAGACATGTTGCTACATGACTTTTCGCAACTAATAGTGCCAGAGCACTGACTGCCCAGCTCTTGAGTGACTTGAGCCCACCACCCGCAGTTGAGGACTGAGCACTCAGTCTGTGAGGTGGAGGTCACAGGTTCATTCCCACTGCTGGCCAATTAGCTGTTCCACAGCCTCAGACAGCTGCCTGCACATGGAACCAGCTGGTCACCACCGAGTCCAAGGAAACAGAGTGGCAGGATTAGTGTAAAACTATCCCTGTGAATAAAAAACAGCATGTACCCTGAGGATGAATAAGTAGCACTATCTTCTTGTGCAAAGAAGAGCACGTTATTGTAGAATCGTGCCATGCACATTGTAGATGCAACCCCTTAGCTATGCCCTTAGAACTTGGAAGGACAGGAAGACACAGTTCACCACCAGAAATAAAACTTTGACACTCAAGCCAGCCCACAGAGGGAGGAGGCGGGGCAAAAAGGTTCCTTACTTTCTCCCTCCAGTCAGGATGGGTGTCAAGGAGTTGCTCCTCTCTGGTCTTCCGCCCTCCCCCTCTCCTCTCTCAATGGTCTCCTAGACATATTGCCCTCCCTCCCTCTCCCCACCCCCATTTCCCTTCTTCCCCTTGGCCCCTGACAATGGCTTCCATCTGGCTCTCTTTTGAGGGAGGAGTGGAGGTTTTGGTGTTTCAGGTATTACTGGATAAGGGAAAATTATCCTTTCCAGACCAGCATCAAAGTGAAACACTGACAGGATAAATAAATCTTCCTCTGTGTAATATTGACCACTTCAAATGGCCTAACTCTGTCCATCTCCCCAGAGTCAGCTACTGGTTATTCCAGCCTGCAGGAGGCAGGGTCCTGAGGGTCTAAGAGTCGAGGACAGCAGGTCAGGGAAGGTGCCTCATCAGGCTTTACAAGTTACAGGAAGTTTCTCCAGACTAGGTTAGTGTTGAGCCAATTTTTTTTCTTTTTTTTTTTCTTTCTTTTCTTTTCTCTTCTTTTTATTTTATTTTTTTAATTTACATCCAAATTAGTTAATTAGTTAGCACATAGTGCAACAATGATTTCAGGAGTAGATTCCTTAATGCACGCAATGGCACATTGTGTACACATTAGTTCTGCAGACATTAAATGATCAGGAACGTATGTTTCAATCTTGAAAGAATTTCCACGAAAAGAAAATTGCAGCATAAAATGTATTAGTATGATTCCACTCAAAAACAGCAATCAACAAACTCATTAAGGGAACAGAGTTGTATCAACGGAAAATGTATAGAT